TTTTGTTCCATTAATCTCTGTCCCTGTTATGGCAGTACCGAAATGTTTTAATTGCTAGTGCTTTATAATATAGCTTGAGATCAGAAAGAGTGGTGCCCCCAACATATTCTTTCCCAAGATTGCTTTGGTTATTCAAGTCTTTTGTGTTTCCATACGGATTTGTTTGTTTTGCTGATGTGAAAAGTACCATTCGGATTTTGATAGGAATTGCATTGAAGCTATAGATTGCTTTGGGTAGAGTAGGTGTTTTCACAGTATTATTATTTCTATCCATGAGGACAGAACACCTTTTCTTTTATTTGTGACTTCTAAATTTTTTCATTAATGCCTTGTAGTTTTCAACATATACATTTTTCATCTTCTTGGTTAAATTTATTCCTAAAGTATTTTATTCTTTTTGACACAATTGTAAATGAGATTGTTTTCTTAATTTCCTTTTCTGATAGTTTGTCGTTTGTGTAGGGAAATGCAACTGATTTTTGTGTACTGATTCTGTATGATGCAACTATATTTAACTCTTTGTTTAGTATTGTACTAACAGGTTTGTGTGTGTGTGTGTGTATGCGTGTGTGTGTGTGTGTGTGTGTGTGTGGAGTGGGGAGACTTTAGGGATTTCTATACTTCCAGCCAGTGGTCATTGTCACCAATTCAATACCAACAGAATTCCCCTGTTTGGGGTAGGGTAAAGAAGGAAACTTTATTCAATGCAAACTAACCCAATTGTGATACTGCACTTGAGTGAAACAAGTAAAAAACAAACCATAGCTGTTAGGTGACCCTGGGGCCAGACAGCCTACAGCCCCATCCCTGTCAGTTAGACAGCTCTGCTCCTCGCTAGTGCACTTGGCTGTGCTCTGTGCTGGTCCGCATTGTGCTGCTGGGTCTGCTTTGCTCTGTGCCAGTCTGCCCTGGCCTGTGCTAATCTGCTCTGTTCTGTTCCAGAAAGACATGGAGAGACACCTAAGGTGTTTCAGGTCAGCCAGGGACATGCAGTTTCCAGGTTTCAGTGAAAAGGGAAGGTGTGATCTCAGAGCCAGTGGGGAGCCGTCTAATGTGGATAGAAGTCCCTGCCCCTGGTCCCTGACTGATCTGTCCTCATGTAAATGAGGACTCTATATCCCTGAAATTTGATCCAAGAGGCAATGTTTCAGCTGGTCTGAAAAGACTCACTCTGGTTATTTGAAGCTGCACAGCTCTGATGGATAAAGAAAGCGAGAGCTTCAGTTCTATTGGTTGACACAGGATGGCAGGACTGCCTTTATAAGGGCTGACTCGGATGATGGAAACACAGTGCAGGCAAAGATAAGGAAATGAGCAGGCTTCTTCCTGAAGTGCAGTTTGCATGAGAGACTCCCGTGTAGAAACGCTGTTAGGCTCTATTTTATTTTTTAATTTAGCGCAGTTAGCCACCAGAAACCCTTCTTAGCAGGTGTCTCCTTTCCCAAGGTTCACAATACACAATACCATGTCATCTGCAAATATAACTATTTTACTTATTTTCCAGTCTGGGTGCCTTTTTATTTCTTCTTCTTACCTCATTGCTCTGTGTAGGACTTCCAGTAGTATGTTGAATAAAAGTGGTAACTTCCCGCCCAACGAAGAAGATGTGTTAATAATATAATGTGGAAAGCTCCCCCCCCCCCCGGGGGGGGAGGGTGAAGGAGCAGCGTGAGCGATTTCATTTTGAGGACGAGTTGTTTAACATATCTATAACCTTTAACTGGTTTCATAGATATGTTAAATAGCAGTGGCCAAGTTGGGAGCCAGGAAGAAGGAACTAGCAGGGACTCAAGATGTAATCAAGGTCTGCTCTCCTGAATGAGAAGGTAGTAGCTGAGACTCAAGATGGGATCTATGAGCTGTTCTCCTGAGTGAGGAGGGTTTGGACTCAGGATGTAACTAAGGGCTGCTCTCCGGACTGAGAAGGAGCTAGGGGGACTCAGGAGGATGTAATCAAGGTCTGCACTCCTGAGTGAGAGTAGCTTGGGGACTCGAGAGGGAGAGTAGCTGGGACTCAGGAGGATGTAACTAGGAGCTGCACTCCTGAGTGAGATGGAACTAGCAGAGACTGAGGATGTAAGATTGAGCATTTTTGTCTTGTTTCTAATCTCAGAGGAAAAACTTTCAACTTTACACAGCTGAGTATGATGTTCATATGATTTTTTTAGTAAAAATTATTGTTTGTAATTTTTTATCTTTATTGTTTATTGCATTTTTCCATTTCTATTTAGTCCCCTTCTACTCTACCCCCAAAAACTGCTACTGCTGTCCATGTCCATGAGTCCTTTTTTCCTTTTTGCTTAATTCTCCCACCTTCTGCCTACCCCCTATTCTGTCATCCTGTTCTCTATCTATGAGTCTGTCTATATTTCGCTTCTTAGTTCAGCATCTTCATTAGATTCCACATATGAGTGAATTATATGGTATTTGTCTTTCTCTGATGGGCTTATCTCATGTAACATAATGTTCTCTAGATGCATATTGTCAAAAGGTAAAATTGGTTTCTTTTCTGTGGCCAAGTAGTACTCCATTGTGTCTTATCCACTCAACTGATAACGCTATATGATTTTTATCCTTTATTTTATTAATATAGTGCATCACATTTATTGCTTTTTAGATGTTGAGCCATCCTTGCATCCCAGAGATAAATGTGACTTGATTATGGTATATAATGCTTTTGTAGTACTGTTGACTATTTTGCTAATATTTTGTTGAGGATTTTGCATTTATTTTTATCAGGGATATTGGCCTGTAATTTTCTTTTCTTGTAAGGCTTCCCTGGCTTTGGCATCAGGGTAATGTTAGCCTCATAAAATAATTTCAGAAATGTTTTCTCCTCTTCAATTTTTGGGAGCATTTGAAAAGGATTGGTATTAATTCATCTTGAAATATTTGGTAGAATTCACTATCAAGACATTTTTTTCCACTGTTTAAAACAGCTTTCAACTCACCAATTTTGATGGCTTTTAGTGCTTCTGCCATGTTTGTTTCACCTCTTCCACATCAGCAAAGGGTTTCTATTTGAAGAAATTTTTCATTCAGGAAAACAAAAATAAGTCTCTCGGGGTGAGATGGGGGTCATGCCTTTTTTGGTCAAAAACTGCTGAACACTCAGTGTGGTGTGGGCAGGTACACTTGTAAATCACCCATCATGAAATTGGCAAATGTGTTGAAAGAGTCTTCAAAACAATTCACTGGAGCTGAACATAGCCTCTCATAACAACACCAGCTGGTCCACTGATACAGATGGATTCTTAAAACATTCACCTAGTAGGAGAAGCTTGTACTACAAGGGTCCCACCCTGCAGAAGATAATTCCCAGTTTCTTTATGTGTGTGTGTATGTTAATAATCTGTTATATTTGTTTGGCCTAATGTATAGTTCAAGTATGTATTTTTTTATTGTGTTGAATTAGCAGAAATCTTTTTTCTTATAGTTCCCTGAGCTTCCTTAAAACAGCTATTTTGAATTCTTTACTGGTTAAAACACTAGTTTCCATGTTTTGGGGTAGGGTTACTGGAAACTACTGTGATTCTTGGTGGTGTCATATTTCATGCTCTTGAAGTTTGTGTTGTTGCTCTTTTGTATTTTTGTATTTGAAGTAGCAATCATCCCCTCCAGTCTTTTTCTTACATATTTTGCCTCAAGTTTATTTGCACAAAAGCACAGTACACCAGCTCCAGACAGCAGCCCAGGCGTCACAGTGGTCTTTCCACCCTCGCATTGGCAGATAGGGATCTCTACTGTGAAAAATTTGTGGGGACCTGGGCACATTTGGGAACCTGAGCCTGACCTTAAACCCCAGCCTGAGCCTCAGATATGGCTGCAGCTGCAGCCACAACCTGGGCCTGGGTTTGAGCCTTGACCTTGGTTGGACTGTGGCTGGCAGAGCCTGAGACCCTTGGTGATGCAGGCAGGAGCACCATTTCCTATGCTTGGGGTGAGCATTGTAGGCAAGTCGATTGAGCTTGCAGCTGCCACCCTTTGGGACCTTGGACTTGACCTGGGTTTTGGTAAGGTCTTGATAGCCTTGGCATATGCACTTACAGCCTTGGCATTGCTGATCTGCATCTTCCTTGTGCTTCTTTCTTGTTGTGCTTTTTGGCAAAGTGCATGTTCCTCAGGAACTTGGAGTATATCCCCTTAAGATCAGGGTTTCTTGGTGCAGTTTCCCATTTTTGGAACTGGTTATGTGTGTTGTGGTTCTTTGATTTGACCATATCTGTACTGAAGCCAGCAGCCCCCAAAGCTTCTGGGGCCAGAAGAGCTCTTCTAGTCTTTACTAGACACTTTTGGGAGAGAATTCTCTTCCATCAGCCCTGCTGTAACAGAGAATGAAAAGCATATCATCTTTTCACAATATTGTACTAACCAGAATTAAACATACTAAGAAACTAACAAGTCTATTGGAACAAAAACAGGAACCAGATTTTTTCTTAACCTCTTTTAGCCTCTATTGTAGTACATTCCAGGGATCAGCAGTTCTAGTTTCCATCCAGATAGAAGCTGCCCATCACAGGAATTCAGCTGATGCAGAAGGATTCAACAGCAAGACCCTGATTGGAACCACACAGATCACTGCCTACACGTCCCCATTTCCTTTCCCTCTTCTTATAAAAGCCACCCAGCTTGACCACAGATGTCAAGGTGGTTTTTAAGACAAGAGTCCACCATTGTCTTGGGTCACCAGCACCTGAATAAACATCTTTCCTTTTTGTCAGGTCTTGTCTTGCAAGTATTGGCTATTGCTGTGGCAAGCAGCTGAACCTGCGTTTGGTAACACTGCTAGTGATCGTGAGGCTTTCTTTCTAGGACCTTCTATGAGTGTGCCTACTGCACACTTCTTGCTCCCTCTTGTGGCAGAACTTTTAAGCTTGTTTACCTTATCTCAATCCTGCAGTGCACTGGGCTGGGTGCTGAAAGACTGACTGTCTTTCGTTTTCCCAAATGTCGAACTACAGATCAAGTTTGTGGCTTCTCCCTAGTTTGCAGAGTCAGCCAGGGTTTCTGCACTCGCTCACCCGCCATCTGTTAGAGCTCTCTCTCTTCACTGCAGTTGGAGCGCCACCAGGGAGGTGGCTGCAGGATGTGGATCTGTTGAAGTGAGGTGCGTTGGGGACTGGCGGTGCCCACACCCTGGTCGAGTTGATCCCCAAGTGACACGCTGCCAGCAGCTCAGGAGCACGCGTTCTGATGGAGTTCAGGGCACAGGCAGTAAGATTTGCATCCCTTAATGGCCTCTGAGAGTCCTATCTGTTGCTTTCTCAGCCTCTGCGCGCCCCCCATTTAGGCACCTCACGATTGAGGAGTCTGGATGGGATGAGAAATGAGTCTCTTTTTTTGGCAGCATGCTACGTGCAGGGTGCTTGCTCACGCTCTTAACTTTTCCCAGTGAGAGAAATCATGGGTGGTGAAAATCCCTCTGGCCAGTAGGAGCGTTACTTTGGGAGAAAGGTAATGTGGATAAAATCAAACTGCTCCTTTTATTACCCTCTCTAATGCATCTTAAGCCATTTTTTTTTCTTCCTCCAGCGGTGTGTTGGAACTTATCTGGAGATCTGGACTTCCACGTGGGCCGTCTGGTCCATGAGAGATTGCCTACCACAGGGTTTTCAAAGGCTCCCTGATCGCTGTGGAGAGGGGCTGAAGCTAGGTCACAGGCAACAACTGGGACTGAGTTCTCAATTTCAAATTATAGGTGAGAAACACCAAGAATAGTGAAAACAATGTTGATGAGGCATATGATAGAGTATTTTGGTATTAGTTCAAGGAACTGAATGGAGTTTTGATTTTGAAAAAAAGAATGCCTACAGATATATTGGACAATAAATATGTGGCTGCAGAGGTGGCATTACAGACCCTGAGAAAAGAACGGGTCATTCAGTGAAGGTGACAGGGAAAAAATCATTACCCTGTGGAAAAATGTTGACTGTCAAAGATCTAATTATGAAAGAAGTCCTCACGAGGTGAATAGAAAATATAGTAAAGTGCTTCAAGACCTTTAGTTAAGGATATATTTCTCAATCAAATTCCCAAATAACCCAATTTTAAGTGAAAATAATGCTATAAAGGAATAATTCAATAAGCACCTTTATTTTCCGAACAAGAGAAGGCATCGTTAAAACTGGAGAGCTGCACCTAGACCAGCACAGGTTAGCAGGCAGAGGACGGAGTGCCAGACCACACTCACAGATGATCAAAAGAGATTGTCACGTTCAATGTTCAGGAATTTGGGGGGACCAGTTGTTTAACACAGTCATTATTAAAAATCAATTGTATAAGCATAAATTATTATAAATTGTATTAATAATAAGAGAAATAAATACTCTAAACTCATTACTTTTTAGTTACTTTGTTATATTGACTATACTTATGAAGTCATTTGCATCTTTTATGCCTGAGTCATGGAAACATTACGTACTGGTGTGATACTGCAGATCTCTCCCTTCCCCAGTTCTGTATTCACTGATAAAATGTTAGTTGCTTTTAATTCACTCTGGTCAGAGTATCTACCCAATTAAAATTGGCAAAGACTGCAAATAAATTCTTCCTTCACCAGAAAGCTGGTTAGTAAACATTTACTGACCTACCCTGGGTATACTTGAGAATAGATTCTATCTGGAATAGGCAAATTATAATCAATTTAATTTTAAAAATCAAATAACTAAATGTAAAGTGAGAAAATATGTAGAGAGAATTTACAGAAAAGTAGCTTAGTACACTCCATCCATATATTATTATAAAAGTTAAATATGAGTAATAATAATATGGGAAGGCAAACTAAAAAACTCTGAGACAATTTGGTAGCCATGATATTAGGAAAATTAAGATTGTAGATTTCAAATCATGGGAATTATGTGGAAAAATACAAGATCTTATATAGTTCTTCTTGTGGTAACAGTAATACAAAAATTCTAGAGAGGAACTTGTCAATTTTTAAGATGTTTTGAATATATCTATACAGTACACAAAAACACACTTCTAAGTACTTACTCTTGAGAAACTCTCCTGTTCATGTGATTAAGGAGAGGTATTAAAGAATACCTAAGACAGAGTAATAGCAAAAATAAAAATAATAGAAGAATCTAAAATACCCTTAGATAAAAAGTAGGTAGAATATTATACTATATTCAAGAACAGACTATACATCAAATAGATCATTAAAAATACAAAAAACTCATACTAACATTTGTTCTACACTACGTAGCACACATCATTCTCTGTGCCACAGATACGTGAGTGAACAAGACAAACCTCCTGTTCTCTCAGGGTCTACGTTCTGATAAGAAAGAAGTATAAAAAAACAAAATAAACATGGTAGGATAAATGCAAGTAAAATGAACTAAAATAAGATAAATGACATACTAAAACAGATAACAGTGTATTCAGGAAAACAACTTTAAAAAATATTTAAACAGAATTTGTAGAAAATAATGCATCTATTGAGGAAATGAGAATGAGTAATGAAAACAGAGGTCTTTAATTACAAATAAATAGTTTTACTAAGGAACTATAATTAAAAGAGGCTAGAAAGAGAGAAAGGGGGTCAAGAGAGAAGAAATATTGTTATTGACTATTTGGCCATTTCAGAATATTAGAAAAACAGAAAATATGCACCGATTTTGAAAGGTGTTTTCAGACAGTTTGCATTGTTTCACTGCATCACCCTCGGACTATGAATGTGAGTCACTGCTATAAAAGATTCAAACATATGTCTTTAATAATCTAAAACTACATCTAATTACAGAAAAATATCTGGACTTCTACTTTTTAAATCACATTTAGGAACCAGCACTTAAACACTTCTTAATGTTAATTTTAAGAACACTTTTAAAATTTCTTTTTAACTCATCTTCTGGACATTTCTAAGAAAAATATCTGCCAACAATAGAGTGTTCTTTAAATAAATATCTAAAATTAAAGATATTTAGAAACTGAACTTTTGTGTTTTAAATAAAAAACTGAAGTCCATAGAGTCCACTTGAATTTTAAATAAAAACCTACTAAAATACCCACTGGACTTCCACCTTGTTACGTACACACGTGAAGTCTTCATCGCCTCTTTAAGCTGGTTGCACCAGCATCCTCTGTACCAGTGGTGCCACTAGCATTTCATTCAGCAAAACTGGAAACATATTCCCTCTTATGCTTTCCCACACCCCATTCTTTCCTTCACTTAATGTCAGGTTTGATTTTACTGACTATGTCAGTTCACTCTCCTAATTAATGTCAACTTCACTATTCCTAACATCACAGTTCTGAGTAAAAACTTTACTTCTACTGTCCATAAGTATGGTTCTTGTTTGTTCTTTTTTATTGTGTTTTTTCTATTACCATTTAGTCGTCTTACACTCCCCCCACCCCTGCAGATACACCAAGCTGTCAGCTTGTTTTCCGTCTATGAGTCTGTCTGTTTCACTGGTTAGTTCAATCTGTTCATTAGATTCCACATGTGAGTGAAATCTTATGGGATTTTTTTCCCCTGACTGGCTTATTTCACTTAGTATAATATTCTCCAGGCCCATCCATACCGCTGCAAAAGATAAAACTTTGTTTTTTTGCAGCCGAGTAGTATTCCATTGTGTAAATATCCCATAGTTGTTTTATCCACTCATCTGTTGATGAACACTTGGACTGTTTCTATATCTTGGCAATGATAAATAATGCTATAATGAAGACAGGTGCTTGTATTCTTTCAAGTGAGTTATTTTGTGTTCTTTCTGATACATTCCCAGAAAGGAGGATTACAGAGACAAAAAAGAAGATCCATTTTTAATTTTTTGAGGTATACCACTTTCCACAGTAGCTGCCCCAATCTGCATGTCCACCCACAGGAAAAATGGGTTCCCCTACTCCACACCCTCACCAGCACTTTCTGTTTGTTGATGTATTGGTGATGGCCATTCTGACAGGTGTGAGGGGATATGTCACTGTGGTTTTAATTTGCATCCCTCTGATGGCTGCTGATGTTGAGCAACTTCCATATGTTTATTAACCATTTGTATTCCCTCCTTGGAGAAGTATCTATTCAGGTCCTTTGCCCATTTTTTAATTGGGTTGTTTGGGTTTTTGGTGTTGAGTTTTATAAGTTCTTTATAAATTTTGGATGTTAACCCATTATCAGATGAATCAGTTGTCCTTTGAACAGGTCAAAGTGCCCACCCAAAACACAGAATCTGACCTTGTCAACTCCTGCTTAAAACTTCTCAAAGGGTTTCTAGTGACAACATGTACTGTTCAATCAACATAGTTTGTTAATCTTTCTTCTTCTAACCCACACCCATTTCTTGTCATTCTAGACTGTTCTAGGCTCCATCCTCATAACCCCACTTAACAAACCAACACTAGTAGACTGCTTAAACTGTCTTTATTGACATTCTTGTTTCTTTCTTCTATGTCTTTAACATTTCTACCTTCAGTTTTTGCTTTGTTTTAACCCCACTCACCTTGATATCTAACATATTTTTAAAACACTCCCCCAAAATCACCTAATCAAGGAAACTCTCCCCAACCCCATTTTCTTATAGTTGGTATTAGCAATCCATTGTGAAATTATCATCTATGAGTTTATGTTCCATGATGACCAATAATTGTGTGTACCACTTTAAATTACATATTTATTTAAAGTCATAAGCTTATATCTATACCTTCAATAGATTATGAACAATTAAATGATAAACATTGTGTTTTATTCTTATCCAACTATGATGTCCATTGCAAAAAAATATGTTTGCCACACAGACATTATAAATAGCTACTAACTCAAAGAGTAGATAGAAAACAGTCTTCATAAAAATATCAATAATTTTATATTTATTTATTTACATAATTTGTGCCACAGTGTCATTGTGTCTGGGTACAAAAATAGAAAAATATAATACAGTATAGAAAGGATCCAGGAGATTGATCAAAACCACAGAAGAAACATTGTAAACTTTTACTTTTACTGGTTATTCTCTTGTTCTCCAGGAGGGTAATTTAAGAATTGCAGTTTAAAGAACACACATTTTTATTCCCATGTATACAAATGAATGTAATAGTGATAAAGTAAGAAATAATAAGTCATTAGAATTATACCAACTTCTATTAGGTGATTTCTTAAAGGAAGCTGTGGTGGGAGATCTGAGTTCTACCCTGATCAGCAACTAGTGAGCCTTTTTCCTTTGGGAAAGTGCTATCTCATACCAGGGTCTATCTCCATAGGCACTTGGGACAAGCAGGGTTCAAATTCTGTGACATCTACAACGTTCTATGATTCTTTGACATTTAAAGTACTGAAGTAAACACAAAATCCATTTGCATGCAAGATGTAGGTATTGTTAATGGCAATTTCCTTTCATGAGTGTGTGCATTACCCTTATGGTAGGGAAGAGAAGGTTAAGTGCAAAAAATTAAATAATCAGAGAAAAATAACCATGATGCTAATGGAAATTTGAAGTCATCTGATTAGTAAGTCATGCATGTGATTTACTTCAAAACACTTTTGAAAAAAATTACTATTTATACGACTGATTCTTTACAAATTCTAAGAAAATACCATAGGGGAAAAACTTTTCTTTTCCATTACATGATAGAGATTGGTATTTAAAAACAAAAAATACAGGCTTGCAGCATGGGCTATGTTGGTATAATGAAGTCCTTTCTTTGTGAAAGAAATGACTCCTTAATGGAATTGCTTATTTTCAGAATTACTGAAAGATCATCTGAGGTGGGGCCCAGAAATTCATGACCAGTTTGTGAAATTGTGCCAGGCAGTATTAGTTAGCAGCCAGGATGGGGGCCTGCTCTTCCTCCTGTCCCAACGAGGTGCACATCCAGATTCACGGGCTTCCCTCGTGTGCTCATCCTGTTGCTGCAGTCGGCACTGTGCGTGCCTCACCCAGCACATCGTACTTTTAGCTGGATGTTCTGAATCAATATTTCAGGTTATGACTAAATGGGTCCTAAATACATATTTCTTATAGTACACAAGCAATTTTTTTACTGTTTTATTGCTCAGCATTTCACTTCAGCTTCAGTATGTTCATGCATACCCAGACTCAGCTCTCTTTCCTTCAGAGCCTTTAATTTACTTCATTGCTCATATGACTTTTAGAATTTGTCTTTTGATACTTTTATTAATTCAAACACATTTATAGAATAGTCTAGGCTACAACAGTTTAATTTTGTCATAACCACCCATCTTATGATTTTATTTCCAGACAACTCTCTGGTAAACACTTCTAACCACATAGTTTCAAGTCACAACTCGAAGTGAGCATCCTGCCAAGAAGACTGTTTCTCACCACAAGTTGCAGTGTGGTCTCAGCATCTTCTCCCCTTGTGGTGGGTACACAGGAAGGACTTAACACACGCTCAGCCGTGTAAGTTAACCCATATTTTGTTTGATAGAAGGTCAGTTGATTAGGCCTCGGTGGTATTCTCACTTAAGAAATGTAATTTCTAAATATTTCACTGAGGTGTTGGTGGTGGTTCTCAAATGACTTGACCTAGGATGTTTGCAAAACATCATAACTTTCTTTCTCCAGTGGCATAAGAGGTCAGAAAATACTTATACATGAGGCTTTTATGTGTCTTTTTTGTAGTCACGTTATTTTTTCCACATTAATTTTGTTGGTTTTATTGTCTTTATTAGAAAGTATGTTTTCAGAGAGAACTGTCATGTCATTTTTTGCAATTTCAAATATCACTGAAGCATCAGTAATGTTCAGCAAATCTTCAATAGTTATTACATGATGACAGATACAGAGTGAGAATATGCTCACCAATGAGCATGAAATTAAATTTCTTTATAAAAGTATTTATTTATATGAGTAACATTTGTTTTGAATTCTACCACTCCTTTTTAATTTTTTTAACTCAACATCCTGAACTCAGAATATGCCTCTCAAAATCCTTAAAGCTGGGTATGAATTAGAATTATTGTGATGATCATTTCCAATACATACAAATACAGATTCATTTTTTCTAAACCTCAAACTAATATGATGTTATATTGCAATCATGCCTCAATAAAGTATAAGTTACCTTTGATTTTGATACATTTATTTTAATTATCTATTACTGAATAAAATAAGAAAGAATGCACTTCACAAGTAATAAACATTCCTTACTTTCACATATTCTATTTAACCACTCAAGAAAAATGAAATTTATCTTGTTGTGTAATATTTTCAGAAACTTTCTTGAGGTTCAAACTTGAAGAATTCCTCATGTCTTTAATAATAGTTGTTAGAAACACAAATACACAGAGACACACTTCTGATCAGAAAGGGAATATCTTACCTTTTGTAAAAAATTTAAGCAAGTCTTGAGTTCTCGATTTAAAACTGAAATGAAAGATGTTCAGCCAATTTTGATGCCCAATAGGAATATGAGAAACATTAATCTAATCTCATTTTCCTCTGGAAAAAAAACAGCACAAATCACAGGACTTCCTTCTAGCCCTTCAGCATACAGAACTTTTTGCTAATTGATCAAATAAATGTTGGGTTCTAACATCATCTCATGGCTTTAAAATGATTAATTCACTGATGAAAATCATCCCAGGGTTTTGAGAAATAAGTGTTAAAATTACATAATCTCTTTCTGAATCAAAAGTTTTCTAAAAATGTAAAAGTTTTGGTTGGCTGTAAGTATGTATGGTTGGTTGCAAGTATTGTGTAAAAAAAACAAGAAAATTAAATTTTTAAATCATCTTGTGCACATGCCATTATAAATTTGATGGAATCAAGTATGCTGTGTATCATGTAGGTTAAAAATATAGAGAGATATTTTTCCTCTATATGAACATACATATATATGCACACAAGCATAAAGGCCTATATGTATGTATACATATGTGTCAATGCATGATCTTTTGTCTGGATTGTTTACTTTGACATTCTCAAGGTCTAGAAAAGTACATAGCAATTGGTGGTCACTAAAATATTTGTTGAATAAGCTTGTTTATTGTCCAAGTTGAAACAAACTACCACACAAAATTGTCTTTATTTCCTTTCTTGGGATATATTAAAATTTTTAGTTTAACTTTATTTTCCTTAAATTGTATAGCATTTTATTATCTTCTGAGTCAATGTTAGAGTAAATGAATATTGATAAGATGTCTACCAAACTAGTCTTTTTAAGTGGTATTAACTCTCATTTATTTGCTTAGTTTTTATGCACACCAGGGTGTGTATTGAGGTCTCTAATATTTCTACATATGATGTGTGTATGTATAGGTCTATTTTTATTTTTTATGTTGGTACAAAAAATTTTCCAAGTCTAAGAATTTAATAGTGTCTCATTTTCTACTTTATCTGCAGTGCTACCTCATATATTATTTTCATGCATGCATGTGACTTTCTCATGTCTTTATATTTTCTCTTTTTCAATTTGTTAATTTGTCTATGTTCTCATATCATTTTGTCTTAATTAACAAAGTTTTAGCAAGTTCTTAATGTCTAGCTGGACAAGGCCTCCACCTTTTCTTTTTCTTCAATAGTTATAGGCTACTCTTGGCTTCTTGCCGTTTAATGAACATTTAGGGTTGTTCTTTGTAAGGTTCATAACAAAACTTGCTATATTATTTGGAATTGAATTGACTTTCTAAAATATTTTAGGATCATTGAACTGTTATTAGCTTAAGTAGTCCTATCAAAATTTAATTGTTTTTTAAAATACTTTTATAAAATTACATAATGAGTTCCACATAGATGTTAATAAAGTTAGAAGACTGATTTTTATATGTGTAAATTAAAAACAGAGTTTCAAGTAGAATTTTTGCCCTTATGAGTTTTATGCTCTTATGCAAGGCACTTACAAGTATGTGATCCACAACTTCGCTTACAAAATAGAATAAACTACATCTGTGGCTCAGAATTACTTTACAGTGATATAAAATTTGTTTCTGTTTATTATTGACCTTCAATATAACAGTGTTTAAAAATTAATGCTACATTAATTACACTGATATTATTTCTATTAAGTGACCATTAAATTGCTTTTTATTATTTATGTAGAGAAACATATCATCAGCAAAAGAATTTAAGTTCTTATGCCTTTAATTTCCTGTGATTGTCTTAAATGTGCTAAAGGACCTCCACAAAGCTGTTGAAGAGAAGTGATATTAGTGATTACTCTGCCTTCAGGATTTTCTAAAAGACCATTAATATTTTGAAGTTAAGAATGATGTCACCATTTGCAGCATTTATCGTGGTGGACAAAACAAGGTTAACAACCAAGTTCTCTTCAATAGATGATCAGGTAAAGAAGATGTGGTGCATATGTACAATAGAATACTACTCAGTCATAAGGAAAGATGGGCAATGCAACCATTTGGGACAACATCAATGGACCTTAAGAATATTATGTAAAGCAAAATAAGTCAGACAAAGTCTAATAAACATATAATTCTTATGGCATACCCTCGCGTGCAGGAGGAATGGAGAGCAGGGGTGATAAAGCATGAAGGGGGTCAAATATATGGTGATGGAAGTTGACTTGACTTTGAGAGATGGGCACAAAATGCAGATCAAGTATCATAGAACTGTACACTTGAAAACTATAAAATCTCATTAACTAATATCACTTCAATAACATTAATTTTAAAATAAAATAAAGTAAAACATACTCTAAGAAAAAATGATGTTTATATAGATCAGAGAGGGGGGAGGAAGGCAGAAAACTAGACTTGAACAACAATAAACTGAAAAAGAAAAAGAAAAAAATCTGTGAGGCAGATGCTGGTGCAAAAGGGAAGAGGTTTTACTCAGGTGCTATGTGACCTGGGAGAATGGATGACTGCTGGTCTCAATGATCATCTCCTACACAAATCCAAAAAAGGGGGGCAGTGTTTAGAGTTCCTGCTCTATTTTAGAACAGAGTGTTTTGAAAGCTAAACGCAACTACTCAGCAGTATAGGGCCCATCCACACAGCATAGCTTGTTCCTTTCTGACTCCCTCCTGGAGCTTCGTGTGGCGCCTGCACAGCCGTGGGCGTGGGCCATGCAAGCCGCTAGGACTGTAGGGTTGTGTACTCCCAGGAAAGAGCAAGTCTGCGCACAGGTGAAGGCAGCACAAGGTCAGCCAGAGACAGGGAGAGAGATTCCTTCCTGGGGGCCATGAGCCACAGGGAGAGAGCAGCCGGCACCACGTGAGTCTAGGTCACAAGGAAGAGAAGAAGAGGGTGTTTCTTTCTTCCCTGGGATTGTATTAGCTTGTGTGTATGATGGACCATGTGGTTTTTCAAAATGACCAATAAACTTCCCAAGCTTTTGCATGCTGCTGACGGGTCCACCTCCCCTTCAATCCTTTATCTCTTCAGGCTAGACTGACAAACCTCTTAGGGCCATCACCTCCCCCTGCCACCATTTGACCTTTATGGCACATGTGCCTGCTTCCCCCAGTTCCCACCCACAACCTGGGATGCAAGGCCCCATGGGGACTTTTTCCTGTATCCAAGTATCTTACTGGCCTTGAAGGTTCTCAGTGTAAGAACTTCCCCTGTCACAATCTTAGCTGAGGGGCAAACTCAGCTGGCTCCAAATGACCTACCACCAGTAACACTAATGCTATTTATTACTCATCTACGTAAATTCTCTGTCGATGTATGTATTAAATCTTGATATTTTTCCTCATTAAATTTGAGAGAACTGTGCAAGTAATACAGTTATTAACCCTTAGATAAACTTGATACAAGCTTTCCCCCAGTCTATTACATTATTTTTCATTATGAATAAAGCTAAAATGTTATATATTTAAAATTTTGAAAATAAAATGGGTATCAAGGTAATTCTAGTTTAGTGAAAGAAATAGGAGCTATTCTATTTCCACCCTTACTGTCTAGAAGAGTTTGTATGAGTTATAACGATCCCTGTTTTGAAAAATCATTACACATCTCCTGGGAATATGATTTGGCTTTCATGTTATTCATATGGAAAAATATTGAACAACCAAATGATCTCATAAAAATTACTCTAGATTTATCAAGCTTTGCCAAAGCAACTTGAGCCTGTGTAAATTTCATCTCACTCATATCATACACAGTAAATATAGTGTCTGTCTGTTTTACGGGCTAAAGATTATTGCCTAAAATGCCTCATTGATTAAATGAAGTGTGGAGTTACTGATGGAAGTTTTGTTTTCACGTGCACATTTAGTGAGAGTTAGTGTGAGTGACCGCTTCTTCAGCCGTTTCCTTCTAACAGGGGTGTTCAGCCTGCTAGCGTCTCGGGGCCACATGGAGGAAGAAGCGTCGATGTGGGAACAGATTTAAATACACAAACAGTAGCAAAGACAGATGAGAAAAAAAAGGTTTTAAGTAAATTTGTGATTTTCTTTTGAGCCACGCCCATAGCCATCCTGGGCTGCGTGCGCAGCCGTGGGTAGAATGCTGCTGCTCTAGGGTTTTTCTTTATTTTGTTCCTCAAAGTGACTTATGTGTATGTATTTCATTATTTGTTACAGTAACATACAGAAGAAGCTCCAAACGCTTATTTTGTAAATAAACTAGTTCTGAGTAATTTTAAAGTTACAAAAAATTGTAAACGTGGCACTGAGTGTTCGCACACACCCTGTATATCCAGTTTCGCTTACGGCTCACAGTCATGTAAAGTGGCACACTTGTCAGAGAGTGAACTGATATTGATACACTATTATTAAATAAAGAAGGCATTATAGTCAGATCTTCTTAATTTTTACCTAATGCCTGATTTCTGTCCATTATCCTATTCATTACTTTTAGTCCTTATATATGTTAAGGCTCCTTTGGCTGCAACAGATAGTTTGTCATTTTTTAATATAACAAAAATTGTGAGTAGCTAGAAATCAGAACATTAAGACATTGGTTGATTATGTTGTTATTCTGACAAAATTTGGTGGTGTGGTTTTGCTAATGAAGGAGGAGTAATAAATTAAGTAAAGTCCACAAGAAAAAAGGAGAAAAGTACCCTATTTAAGATTAAAGACTGATTGATCTGAGACACCCACATATCTAAAAAATGAAATAATATAGGCCATAACTTTATCATTTTTTAAAATTTTTATTAATTTATCCCTAGAAGAGAAGGGAAAGAGAGAGGGAGAGAAATATCGATGTATGGTTGCCTCTCATGTGTCCCCTGCTGGGGACTGGCCCCTGCTAGGAACTGGCCTGCAACCCAGGCATGTGCCCTGACTGGGAATTGAACCACGATCTTTTTGTTCTCAGACCCACACTCTATCCACTGAGCTATACCAGCCAGGGCACTTTATCATTTTTTAAGCTAAGCGTATCATGACTTATCATGCAATTTTTATTTAGTACTTTATTTTTTGTAGTTGAAAGATTGTATATGACTACATTATAAACATGCATATATGTCTCTATGTGTGCTTATATATGCATGTTCATAAACATAAAATATTTCTCTGTGTTTCAACCTACATGATACACCTTACTGGATGCCACTCAACCTTATAGTAGCATGTACACAGGATGATTTAAAAGTTGATTTGATTTTTCTCCTCTTTTTTCACACAGTACTTACGACCATTTTGTTGTTGCTTTGTTATACATTTGTTGCTAATCATGTTGTTCACCCAACATCTCTGTAAGAAATGATCCCTTTGAACTGTTATACTGACCTGTATAGTGCTATTCAAAACCGTTGTTCTACAGGTTCTTTTCCCAGGATGCTCCTGAAGTGAGCATAGAAAAACTTTATATAATAAGAGTATTAAATGTGTCCAGGTCTTAATACTACTAGCACTTACCCTATTAAATGACAAAGACAAGCACCGATCACCAGGCAGGATCTCAATGTCATTCAATAAGAAAAAATAGACAAAAAACTGTACTTGAAAAATAACTAAATAAAATTAAAAAAAAAATAAGAAAATGGGGATGGGTTATGCTAAACTTCTTTACGTTTGATTCAGAAAGAGATTATGTATTTCACTATTTGTTTCTCAAAACTCTGGTACACATTTTAACACCAAATTAATCATTTTTAAGTCAGAAGATGATGTTAGGACCTAATGTTTATTTTACCACTTAGCAAAATGTTCCGTGTAGTGAAAAGGCAGAAGGAAGTACTGTGGCTTGTGCTGTTTCTTTTCAACAGGAAAATGAGATTAAAATAACGTTTCTCATATTTTTCTCAGAGGTCGAAATTGATTGGACGTTTCTTGTCTCAGTTTTAAATTGGGAGCTCAAGACATGCCTAAAATTTTCACATGAAGCAGGACGTTCCTTCTCTGACCAGGTGTGTCTCTCTGTGTTTCAGTGTTTCTAAAAACTATTACTCAAGAAATGAGGAATTCTTGAGGTCTGACCTCAAGAAAGTTTCTAAAAATACTTACGCAACAAGGTAATTCTGTTTCTTGAGTATTTGAATAGAATTACTGAAGGATGCTTATTACTTCTGAAGTGTACTCTTTCTCACTTTATTCAGTGATAAATAATTTGGATAAACTTATTAAAGAGTCAGAAGTTATGATGTCGCTATAAGATCATGTCTTGTCTCTAAACAAAACTACAAGAATGAATCTTTACATTTAGGAATAAAAAATTGAGTTTCAATTTGAAGTCTCACTTTTATGAATTTAGTGCTCTTATGCAAGGCACTTACTTTATGTAATACACAACTTTATTACCATAATAAAACAAATTATTTCTGTTGCTTTTAACTATCATGTTTAAATCTGAAACAGATTTTATTTTAAAACCTAAGCACTATGCATATTTATTAAATAGCCATTTTTCTGAGAGCTCTGCTACACACAGCATGATGTCACTACACAAATAGAAGATTATTTTTGCTAATAATATGCTGAAACTAATCATCACTAGATTAAATAAACAAGTATAAATAGAAAACTGTGTTGTTACTCAATATCAGTGATGAAAAATTTTTTCCATTAACTATCTTTTTTTTTTTTTACATTTTATTTATTTATCTTTAGAGGGGAAGGGAAGGAGAGAGGGAGAGAAACATCAACGTATGGTTGCCTCTCATGCGTCCCCTGCTGGGAACTGGCCTGCAACCTCGGTATGTGCCCTGACTGGGAATCGAACCGCGATTGTCTGGTTCGCAGGCCCGTGCTCAATCCACTGAGCTACACCAGCCAGGCATTAACTATCTTGATGTAGGCAAATTTAAAAATTCATTATATATATTTTATTTTTAACCAAGATAAATTAAAAAATTTAATTTACCTGAATTTATATAAATTGTTCTTGTCATTCATTCCTTTTAAAATATATTCCTGGAAGAAATTTTTTTGTATTCTCACTTTCCAATCAAAGTATATCATTTCACCACAAAGAAAGACAAGAAAAAGAATTAGCTATTTTATTTTATTCAGGAACCTTTATAAGTTGAAGGCTTCAGATTCATTTCTGTGCTAAATGAAAAGTCCTAATTATATGATGGGGTTGATCTGAGATCGGTGGGCTCATCACAACCTGGGTGAGTACTTTCCACATAAATGTCTACTCTGGCCTGTGTATAATTTCAATATACTCAGAATTTTAGACAAACATTAAAAAGTGATTTAATTTGATTGACTTACGTTCATTTTATGTACACATCACATTATGTTAATGTTATATTTAATTCAAGTCTTTGAAAACTTGAAAGCTTGTTCCTCCTTGACCTTCTTAACTACCTACAGTAAACGCTCCCAATGCGAGGCAGTCCGAAACAGTGACAGCATCGGAACTGGGAGTCAGAAAATTGAGTTTTAATCAAACTTTCATCAGTCTCTGGTTCTGAGATCTGAAGTAGTCCACAGCACTTACATACCTAACTTTTAATTTTTATGTGAACCAGAGTTATAAAACAGGTGACATTTATCTTAGTGGATTTCTATGATATTCATATAAAACCACACATATTTCAAAGAGTTTCTTAACTAAAATATTGTAAATAACTTAGTGGCAACATTATTTTAAATAAAGAATACTATATTAGCCACTTCTAACATTCAATTTCTTCCTTCATAACCTAATATCTACCCTCTTTATATATTTAATAATTAAATTATACATCATATGTACAATGTTTAATTTTAGGTATAACAGGTAATTAATATTATCATTTTAGTTATAAAAGGCTTTTACATATTTAATATTTTTATAATTTCACAGAGAAAGCAAAATGATTTTTTACTCGTTTGGTTCAGAAGATTCTTTGTCTTTTTCTTAAAGTTATAGACTGTGCTATTTTCAGGACATACTCTTTGTCTTTAACAATGAAGAAAATTAAACACACTAGACTTTACTACGTGTTTGCTAATGACTGATGTTGTTGATAATAAGTGCATATTATTTTATTTCACTTTTAAGAGTAGCCATGCCACAGTGTATTGACTTATTTTTCCTTCTTTTGTTCCTTTCTCTTTTTTTATTTTTGTAAAATTTCTGCAGTTATTAAGTTAGTAAATGTGGCTCAGTAACTTAAACACATCTAATTCCCTTAAACACATCTAAGGCTTTATCTTTTCACTATACAATGTCTTTATTTTATTGTTAGTTTTAATTTTGTGGTTAGAATCAACTCATGTTAATAGTTCATAAGATTTTGCTAAGATATTTTGCTGCAGGATAAATATAATTTTATTTACACTGCAAAGTATAAAAATTGCAGTAACAAAATAATAGAAAACAAAATTAACTTAATGTTATACTTTAAAAGGTAAAGAATAGAAATGGCAAGTTAAAGTTTAAAACTGAATGATCGCAGAAGCAGAAAAGTCATGACTCATACTGGCCTGATTTGTGTTTCTCCAGAGATGAATGAATCCCACAATTATAAATTTAAACTCAGAAATCATGCTACTTCTATACCAGGACAAAAGAAAAGACCTACATTGATCACAAACACATCTGGGGAAAACCGTAAGTACTACATTCACGATCTTCAGGTGAAAATTGGAAGCTATGAGCTCATCAGGGATAAACTTTCAGTGTAATTTTGCCGTCATAAGAGAAGCAGAAGTGAAATTAAGTTTGATGTCACTTGGAATATGTGCAAAGTGAGAAGAAAGTATTGAATTGATGAGCTTTTCACACCCTAAAAGAGGTAAGATAATCACAGCAATGACAACCGAGACTGCAGTTTCTAAGGGCTCACTGAACAGCCAGCTGTCAGGAGGGGCGAGTGGACAGACGAGAAGAGAAATACACAACACTCGTGAGTGGTGTGTCTTTGAACAGCATGGCGGCAGTGACTTGACTGCGATTCACAGAAGGGCCACTGCGCAGTGGTGAGGATACGCTGTCTGGACTGTATCAAGAAAAATATGATCGAAGATGAAGCCTGAAAAAGATTACACAAAAAGGAAAACGACAGGCTACTGTCACCTATAAGTTTTTATTGTATAGTAAAAAATAAGTGATTATCAAATAGCCTCACTTTCAAAAGTTAATTATAGAAATGAAAATGTATTTAATATAATAATCCGAGATTGTATATCATATGCATAATGTAGAAAAGATTTTGGCTAAAAATCCATTAGAATTCTTAATTTAAAAAACTTAATTTTCAAAGCATCTAAAATATAAAAATTTACTTTAAAATATATGTTCCAAAGCTGTCCTTATGCTTATTGATAAATGCTTACATTATATTCATTGTAGTTAGAAAAAGGCAAGAATCTTTATTCTCATTATTATTAATTAATATTGGCTGTTTTGCTGGCACTAGCCAATGTGCAAAACCAAGGAAAGAAAAGAAAAACAAATGATCAGAAACTAGAATAAAATGGTGAAATTAACATGACTAGCAAAAATATATTGACTTAAAATATTTTAAGCCCTCAAAAGCTTTATCCCATAAACTGCAAAACAATATGAAAATTCACTGTGTGGACCTGATTGAAAATAAGATGTAAAAATCAACTGTCTAAAAAACTACAAAGAGAAGAAAAATGTGATGAAAAGAAAATGCCATATTTATAAAACCAAAAATCAGAAATAAACTTTTAAATTAAGAATACTGGAAATAAATGTATTACTTTAAAGTTGTACTAATAAACATTAGACATAAATAACAGAAAAAGAACTATTATGGGCATGGTAAGTACACAAGCATATAAAAGTAAAGATATTTTACATATAATTTGAACAGAAAAACATCGAAGAATATAAAAATAAATGTAAGCACATATAAGAATATACTATATGCTAAAGGTAGTCTCATATCAATGAGAACAATGATTTATATATTTGGCAGATAATGTTAGGAAAATTCAGTGACCATTTGGTAAACAGAAAAATTTTATCAATTTGAGTTCCTACCTCACTTATTACACGCGTATAAACATACAGTCACACACAAATACCAGGTAGACCAAAATAAGAAAGGCAACTGTGTTACTTATGATGAACATTGGTATACTTTATTTTATAAACTCCAAATAGTGAAAGCGGTTTTATGCATATCATAAAAGCATAATGGTTTGAGCAAGTCAACCATTATCCATTTCAGTATTATAATGTTAGGAGAAGAGTGGTGTCTGAAATGCGTTTTGCAAAACATAGGGCAAGAATACTAACATTCTCAACCAAAAAGTGAGAATAAAACCAGTTACTTAATAAAAATGAGAGAAGTCTCAAAAGAAATAAAAACATGACAATCATAACAAAAGATGTTTAATCTTTTGTTATTTATTCATTTAAAAAATTAAAAATTTAAAAATAGCATTGGTCATCAGATTTATACATTTAAAATGTGAGGAATATTTAATGATGAGGGAAGTATAAGCAAGAAGTTTTTTAAGTTTATGTTTGGAAATACATAAATTAATGTAGCCTCTTCAGACTAAAAATTTCAATTGCAAAAATTTTAAAAGACCTGGAAAGAAGTATTCCAAGTCATGAAATCCAAAGACCTACATCCAAGATTTCTCTATCCAGCAAAACTTTCATTTAGAATGGAAGGGCAGATAAAGTGCTTCTCAGATAAGATCAAATTCAAGGAGTTCATCATCACCAAGCCCTTATTATATGAAATGTTGAAGAGACTTACCTAAGAAAAAGAAGATAAAAAATATGAACAGTGAAAGGACAGCAAACTCACAGTTAATTAAGAACCACACCTAAAACAACAGCAAACTAAGAGGACAGCTAGATCAGGAGCAAAACCATAGAAATGGAGATCACGTGGAGGGTTAACAACAGGGCAGTGGGAGGAGGAGAAGGGAGGAGAAGGTGCAGAGAATAAGTAGCATAGACAGTGGGGAGAATATAGGGGGAGGGCAAGAGTAGTGTGGGAAATGTAGAATCTAAAGAATTTGTGACACATGGACATAAACTAAAGGGGGGAATGGTGGGGGAGGGGTGTGCAGGGTGGAGGGGAATGAAGGGGGGAATAGGACAACTGTAATGGCATAATCAATAAAATATATTTTAAAAAATTAAAAGCAAATGCTCTTCAACTCACTATTTGCCCTTTTGAGAATTTCTCTTAGAAAGGTACTAAAAAATATGCACCTTTGTGTATAAAATGTTATTTATATTATTACATTAATAGCAAAAACTAAGAAACAATTTAAATATACATTGGGAAAAATAAAAATCTGTCAATAATGAGATTTTGTCCATAGCAATGAAACACAACTCAAGCAGCTAGGTATAAAAGTCTGACAACTTTATAAGACGTGAAGAGAAAAATCACTAGAATATTTTCTTAAGTAAAAAAATTACAGAATATTTTATATGTTTTTGAAAATTTATTTTTAAGAGGGGCTTAAGAGGAACTATTTGTATTTATTATTTTTATTTGCATGGAAATTTTAAAAAATGGTACTTATGATTTATTCTAAGGGTGAACTGGGGAACTCGTAGAAGGGATTAAGAAGTAACATTACATTTTTATAGTCTTATTTAACATCATTTACAAAGAACTTATTTTACCTATTCTGAGAAAAATAATTTAGGAAAAAGCACTGTTATCACCTCCACATAAAAATTACTCTAACATTTATATCAAACATAAGAATTCTAGAACCCTTTAATCTTTCTCTCATTTTTGTCACTCCTTTTTCTTTGACAGCATCTCCATTTTTGCTTGCCCGGTCCATTGCTCTAGCTATGGGAATCCGTTTCATTGTGATGGTGACCATATGCAGTGCCATGATCATAAACTGTGAGTGATAACAGAGTGGATTGCACTGTTGATCCAACAATTGCAATGCATTAGTTTGCTTAACATTCAGATGCACAGAAACATAAACTAGCAATATCAAAAGTTTCTTTATACTTTACCCCTGGCTGGTGTCATCAGTGGATTGAGCACTGGCCTGCGAACCAAAGGGTTGCCAGTTTGATTCCCAGTCAGGGCACATGCCTGGGTTGCAGTCCAAGTCCCCAGTAGGAGATACATGAGATGCAACCACACCTTGATGTTTCTCTCCCTCCTTTTCTCCCTCCCTTCCCTCCTTTCTAAAAATACATAAATAAAATCTTTTTTTAAGAAAAAGAAAAAAGGCTTCTCTACACTTTAGCAATTAGTGTAGAAAATTGTCAACTATTTTTAATTTTGCTTGGACTATGTTAGGTCAACACAAAACCTTCTAATGATTATGATTATTTTAATAGCATTATTCAATCAAGCAGCTCCAGTTTTTGTGAACGGTAAGAGTTTTCTGACATTATTATTATTTTATTTTTTCAGTGTTGACACTATTATAAATATCCTGTATTTCCCCACCTCCTTTACTCTCCTCCATCAACCCTCCCCCAAGCATTGCTGTGTCCATGGGCTATGCCTATATGCATGTATGTACTTTGGTTAATCTCTTCCAGTCTCCTCCTGTCCTTGAAGCACAAATTGCATGTATCTGTGTACATAGAGTTAAGCAGGTATCAATGCTGATACCGAAAAAGTGCATAAGACAAATCACGTGTCATAGAAATGTGCACTTGAAATTTATATAATCTTATTAACCAATGTCACCCCAATAAATTTAATTAAAAACAAAACATATAGGGAAATAATTCTTGTCCACAATTCACCATAGGTTTTTTAATTTAATTTAATTTTCTTACAGTAAGGGAGACTTGCAAAAAGTAAACACAATTTTGACATATTTATCTATCTATAAATATGTAGAGTTAGGTCATTAGGTATGACCATAATGGCTTAATATTTGGCATTTTAGAGTTAAAATAAAAAAAGATATTTATCCCTGGCTGGTGTGGATCAAGGGATTGAGTGTTAGCTTGCAAACCAAAGGGTGGCCAATTTGATTCCCTGTGAGGGTACATTGCCTGGGTTGTGGGCCAGTAGGGGGCGCGCAAGAGGCAATTACAGGTTGATGTTTCTCTCCCTCTCTTTGTCTTTCCTTTCTTCTCTCTCTAAAAATAAATAAATAAAACCTTTAAAAATATTTAGCCTGTGTAGAGAAAATCTACTATAATATTCAGACATGTGGAGAATTAATAATACAATCTTCCTTTCTAGAAACTTACTGTGGCCCATGTCCTCAAAACTGGATATGTTATAGAAACAACTGCTACCAATTTTTTAGTGAGAGAAAAAGTTGGCTTCAGAGCCAAGCTTCTTGTATGTCCCAAAATTCCAGTCTCCTGAAGATATATAGCAAAGAAGAACAGGTTAAGTATTGTTTTAATTCATCTTCCTATATGTAGGTCTAACATATTTAGAAATTCTCCGGAACATGAACCTGAAATATCACGTAGAGACACCAGGATTAGATATATGAACCCCAAATCTTTTTGCATTAAAAACAACAAAGCAGTAAAAATAAGAAAAGACAAAAATTTCAGGGATTATATGTATGTTGTTTAAATTGGAATTATGCCAGAGGACAGAATGCATTTTGCAAAGTTCTGGGGAAATAATTAAATGATTATGGTTTTGTCTTCAGTGAAATTCTGAGAACTGACTTTATTTGTGATTTCAAACAGGATTTCCTTAAACTGGTGAAGTCCTATCATTGGATGGGACTCGTACAAAATCCAGCAGATGGATCCTGGCAGTGGGAAGATGGCTCCATTCTCTCTCCCAATCAGTAAGTCTCTACTAAGAGGTGTCTCCTTGTGGATCCGTCTCTAAGCTATTGCTGTGATCATGAAACTATCACAGTTTCCTTCGCACAATACCAGGACATCCCCACATGATAACAGAGTCAGCCAAAAACTCTGAGGGGCTAGATTCAGTACTGTGTGGAGCAGAGCAGCACGTACCCATAACACTGAGTTCCATTAGTTGGCTGCTATGTGCTAAGTACTGTGCAAGGCTGGTCTAATACCTCACTTATGGGACTGATGAGGGGTCTAAAGCAGAGAAGTGTCACATCCATTCTTTTATGAAGTGATTACCAGAGTTGTCGAGATATAATTGGCATCCAATAAAGTGCACATTTTAAAGTGTACAATTTTGACAAATGAATTGATTCATCAAATAAAACCATTAACACCATCAAGATAATTAACATATTTATCACCCTCAAAATGTTCTTTTTGCACTTTTATAAGACCTCCTTCACATTCTTCTACCTGCCTCTTTCTATTTCTAGTCAAGGATGTGCTTTCTTCACTATAGATTAGTTTGTAATTACAGAATATAACATAAATGGAGTTCTGCAGTATGTACTGTTATTATGTCTGGCTCTTTTCCTTAGTATATTATTTTGAGATTAACCACTTCATAGCATGTTTAAAGAGCTTATTTCTTTTTACGCCTGAGAGCTTTTCCATTTATAGGTGTTGCTCAGTATGTTTAGTCTTTCATATATTGATGGATATTTGGGTAGTTCCCCAATTTTGGACTATTAAAAATAAAGCTACTTCAGAAGTCTTCTGGTCAAGATGGTGGCAGAGTAAAACATGGTACTCATATGCTCCAACAACCAAATCAAAATTACAACTAAATTGTAGAACAACCATTAGTCAGAACCACTAAAATCTGTCTGAATGGAAGTCATGCCACTAGGGATTTAAAGAAGAAGCCACATCCAGGCTGGTAGGAGGGGCAGAATACAGAATGGGCTGATCCCACACCTATGAGTTTCAGATAAAAATCAGGAAGGATATCACAGCTGTGGAGGTTCCCCCTCAGAAGCTAGGGGTCCCAGATCCACACCAGGCCTCTCTAGCCCAAGTTTCCAGTAACAGAAAGAGAAGTCCCTTAAACTTCCAGCTGTAAAAGCCTGCAGAGCTTGTAGCTGAGTGAGAGAGAGGACCGCTGGATTCCCAGGCTTTGCTCTTAAATGACCCATGCACAGACTTATTCTGACTCACTCCCTCTGAGTTCCAGAGCCAGGTCAGTAGTTTGAAAAGCACCAGATACATAGAGAGAAGAGTTGAATTGCCTGGCATAGGAAGGGCATGGGGTAGCAGCTTCCTCCCAGACAGAAGTGCTGACAGAGGCTTTTGTTTTCATGCTGAGCCCTCTCCTGACAGAGCCAGCGGCCAAGCACCATGTCTGAGTCCTCATCAGCCTCATCAAACAGCTCATGCTGTTTTCCCTGCCCTAGACTCCTGAGTCTCCCTGCCTGAGACTCCTCTCCAACAAACCTGTGAGCCCACCAATGCTATTTCTAGTAACTTTTCCATATGAATGGCCTGTCTTGGCTCATGCTTCTGACTTTCCTAAAATCTCTCAGGGACTTTGCAAAAATTCTAAAACAAGCAGCATCTGGCCTCAGCATTACCTGTGACTCTTGCTAAGCAGCTCCAATTCTGGTACTAGTAGCAGCTGGCTTTGGTTCATAGTACAGACTTCCCTGACCTCCTTCAAGCCCAGCACACATATCAGCCATCTGAAGAACCCTCTGTAGCTCATGCAGGTGGTCCCAGGCAGGGCATAGGTGGTGGCTGACCTTGCACCTTCTGGGGGACCCCATAGCCAGTACACACCTGGAAAACTGATCACATGGCATTACACCCATACTACCACCATGAACCGCACACTTAAGGCAAACTTGATGAGCATATAAGCATCTCTGAAGCAAGTCCTGCTCTGTAAGATTGGCTCCAGCACAACAGTTCCTCTGCTGTAGTCACAGCCCATCCTCTTAGCTAATAGGCCAGGAGTTCAATCCCTTCCATTGAGAATCAAGTCTTAGCTACCAAAGGACAGTGCACACAGCCCACAAATAGGTGACTGGGGAGGCTGCACCTCTAAGCTCTATGGGAAGCCTACTACTACACAGTACCACTCTACCAAGTAAAGGACACATAGCAGCTCTAACTTAATACACTGAAATACACAGAAACAAACACACAGGAAGCAGCCAAAATGCAGTGGCAGGAGAATGGATCCCCAGAACAAATGGGAGAAAAATTCTCAGAAGGAAACTAAATGGACTTGAGGCAAACAAACTACCAGATACAAGGTTCAAAACAATGGTTATAAGGATACTCAAGTAATTTAGTGAGAACTTCAGGAGAATGAAAAAGCACATAGAAACCATAAAAAAGAATCAGAAATAAAAAATATGCTAAATGAAATGAAGGTTAAGTTACAAGGAAATCAACAGTAGTGTAGATGAAGCTGAGATGAAGTCATCTGGAATATAAGGAAGCAAAAAACAATCAGAACAGCAAAAAAAAAAAAAAGAATAAAAAACAATGAAGATAGTGTAAGGAGTCTCTTGGGCAACTTCAAGTGTACCAATATTTGCATCATGGTTCTGCTGAAAAGAAAAGACAGAGAGCAAAAATTGAAAACCTATTTGAAAAAATAATGGCAGAAAACTTCCTTAAACTGGTGAAGGAAACAGACATACGAGTTCAGGAAGCACAGAGAGTCCCAAACAAGATAAACCCAAAGAGGCTCATACCATGATACATCATAACTAAACAATAATTGAATGGCCAATTGTTAAAGAGAAAAATCTTAAAAGCAGCAAGAAAAAAAAGCAGTTAATTACCTACAGGAAAGCTCCCATAACACTGTCAGATTTCTCAAAAGCAACTTGGCAGGCCAGAAGGGATTGGCAAGAAATATTCACAGTGATGAAAGCAACAACCTACAACCAAGATTACTCTACCCAGCACAGCTACCATTAAAATCAAAGAAGAAATAAAGAGGTTTCCAGAGAAGGAAAAGCTAAAGTACTTCATCACCATCACACCAGTATTTTATGAAATAATAAAGGTCTTCTTCAAAAAATGATTTAAAAATGAACAATAAAATGTCAATAAATACATATCTATCAACAATTGCATCAAAAAAAAAACAAAATAAACAAGCCAAATGGAAATAGGCTCGTAGGTACACAGAACACATTGAGAGTTACCATATGAGAGTGGGGTTAGGAGGCGCAGGTGAAAATGGTGAGAGGACTAAGAAATACAGTTTGGTTTGTACAGAATAGTCATGGGGATGTAAAACACAGCATAGGGAATATCGTCAATAATATTCTAATAACTGTATGGTGTCAGAAGGGTACAAGATTTATCAAGATTCATGTAGCAAGTTCTATAAGTCTACTCACTGGGGTGCACAGCTGAAACTAATATAATAGTGTATATCAACCATAATTGAAAAATAAAAATGATTTTTTTAAAAGCTACTTGTCATGAATATATGTGTGCAACACTTTGAATGAACATAAGCTCTCCTTTTCTAACATAAATACCAGGGAGTGCAATAGATGGATCATATAATAAGTATTTGTTTAACTTTTTAAGAGTCTCCCAAACTGTTATCCAAAGGACTATGCAATTTTGCAATCTCACTAGCAGTGCATGAGATTTCCAGTTGCTCAACATCTTGCTCAATGTGCATTACCATCAATCTCTTAAATTTAGCCATTCTAGTGTGTATAGTGGTATTTCTTGTGGTTTGAATTAGCATATTCTTAATGACTACTGATTTGAGCATCTTTTCTGTGCTTATTTACCATTCATTTTTCAATTTTCCATTTCATCAATTTCTGCTGTGTTCTTTAACTACTATATTTTTGCTGAGGGTTAATTCATCTTTCTCTAGTTCCTTTTTTAATTGCAGTTCATGTACAGTTATCTCCACTTTCCCCCAACACTACCCCCCACCCCAACCACCCCTACTTCCCACCCTTGATCCTACTCCAACTAGAGCTATTTCTAAAAATCTCTTGATTTCGTTCTCTCATATTAGCTAGTTGTTTCTTTACAGACAGAATAGTTCTCAAACACACACACATATACATATTTTTTATTTAAAAAGTGTTCTTACCAAGTAAAACTGCATGTAGTTGAAGAATATCGTATATTTTTCACAAAACATAATGAATTCTGAATTTATTTTTAACCTAATTAATTGTTTTAAAAACTTTCTAAAATTTTCATTTCATGTGATTATGCATATAAAGATATTCTTACATGTACACATATAGAGTCTTTATGTGACTCTCTAAATTGACTTATTTCCAATGTGTAAGAAATATAAATTATTTCTTATGATTTATAGTAGAATACATTATGATTTGTATCAGAATGTACATGATTTATAATAGAATGCATTTTTACTTTTATTATCTGTTAGCCATGTTTTGCTAATTTATAAATTAAGAAAGTCCAAGCATAGTCCTTATATCTTCTGAGATAATATTATTTCATTGCCTATATTTAAATAAATATTGTTCATCTTTGATCCTTCTGCATTAATGAAGTCATAAGTGTAATTTGTCCTTCTCTCTAATCTAGACTAACCTTGGTTAAAATGGAGAATGGAACCTGTGCGGTTTACGGCTCCAATTTTAAAGGTTACACAGAAGACTGTTTGACTCCAAACACATACATCTGCATGCGGAGGATTGTGTGAAGACTTTATTGTTTATAAAATATAAAGAATTCAAAAGCAAAAATGCCATTTTCTGAGTGTTCACCATGAAGAAAACATCTAGAAGAAAATTTCACCAATATTGATGTATTTTTATCTGACATGCCGTAAACCCTAATCAGCAGCAAATAAGGTCTAACAATTAAAGACTTTATCTTCTATAACATGTTTTGTATAATTTTCAAGTAATTGAATGGTGAACAAATTCATTCTTAAGTTTAATAAATTGTTGATAATACCTACCATTGAACTAAATTTTGAACTATAATGTTATTATTCGCAAATATTAAACTAGCAAGGCTTTTAAAACTTTTAAAACACAATGCATTTAAAAATTAAATATGCTTAAAGTTAAGTAAAAAGCATATGAAGGTTTATTACATTTGCTATTTTTGAAGTTTTTCTAAAGTTAAAAAATCAACAAAAACACCCTCAAGTTTTCAAAATGCCGCTACTAATTTTCTATAGCACATGAGAAATTTGACAGAAATTGAGTTATTCCTTATAATAAGACCCTGGCACTGACTGCTGCAAAAAAAGGAAATAAGAATTGAGTTTAAGGAGGCCTTCCAAGACTTCTGGGGGCAAAAAGGGATCTGAGTTAAAACTTGTAGAATGAGTAGAAATTTGAGCACGTCATTGGGGTAACAGCATCCTTGGCAATTGGAATAGTATCCACATATGTGCAGCAGTTGGGGGAGTCTCCCATGACTACTGCTTCAGTCATGAAAAGTGCTTAAATTCTCTTGATCTTTACAACAATTTCCAATCCCACACTTTCCAGATTTGTGAAGAAGCTCATTCTCTCCAGGTCACATTTATTCTCTGCCTACTGTGGGTCATATGTTATTATAATGAAACAGAGAAAAGACTTCAGAGAAATATCAAGAACCTGTGTTCCATGTAAAGCCACATATAGTGACTCAACTTTATTTAAAGCTTTGAAGCATTTGGTGGACTTTAAACGTGAATCATTAGATGTTTTATAGGTTACCGCTCCAGTTTCATTGATTGTCTTCAGTCTGTTCAGATGATCTGTTTCTTCTTGATTCAGTTTTCGGAGATTGTATGTTTACAGAAATTTATCTATTGTTTACATCTATGAGTTTTGTTTTTATTTGTTTTCTTGTTTTTTCATGTGTTGTTTTCAGTTTTATAACCCACATATGAATTATTTCATCTCCACATACTGTCTTCTTACATATACAATAACCACATTCTTTGCAATTACCATAAAAAACTGACTATTTGGTACCTGTTTGCAATGGTTAGAGGAAGGGTCACCTTTTTTATTTGGAGCCCAGAAGAGGAAAGAATTTCCACTTGAAATTAAATTTATTTCACATATCAATTCTATTATAAAAAGTCAATATGCATTATTAAAATATAAAGAAGCATACATTTCTTTGGCAGATTTATTAGTATATAAATAAAAATATTTGTTCTATCAACTGTTAAAGAAGCAAAATAGAAGAACTCCTTAACATTGCTCCACTAGTCAACCATAAAACTGACAGAAAATGACTGACTCAAAGTTTTCAGGAATCTGGAATTTAATGAAAAAAAACTTACAGCAGGGGCTTGTTTAATAAAGGAAAAAGCTTCTAAGTTTCAGCAGGAGAGCATTTGTTTTATTCAAAACTAAATGAAATAAACATGCTAAAAATGCAATTAGTCTTGATTATTATCTATGTGTCCTTGACAAAAATGGGACTTTCTAAATTTATCTTAAAATAACTAGGTTGAACTGAATACCCTCTCTATATTAGCATTTAAAAAATAAAATCAGTGCTGTACTTATTATCAGAGAATTTTTTAAAACTTGTGTTCCCACTCCTCTTAACACTTAAAAATTACCAAAAGACTCAAAGAAATTTTGTTATTTGGGTATATTTATCAAAATGTCAAATTAAGAACAATTCTGATATATTTAAGAAGATTCATTTGTTTATATGTAACCATAAGAAAAATACAAATATATTTTATGTTTATAGAAGAATAATGTTTTCTAAATCAGAAGTAGTGCCAACAATGACATTGCTTTATAATTTAGCAAGTCTTTAATTGTCCAGCATGATAGAAAAAACTTTTTAATCTGCTTCAGTCTTTAATCTGTTTTGATATATATCATAAAGCTTTAGGGATACTTTTCCATTTGTTCATAAAAAGGAGACTGAAAAGAGAAAAATCGCATTTCTATGTTACTTTAAAAATAGTTTTGATTTCACACCATATCAAAAGTGTCTTTGTACATCATGTAGTAAATGTTTATGGTTCAGAGAAATGAAAATTAAGTTTATACTTAGAAAGTTACCTGGTTTATACTACAATATAAATCATTAGCCTCTGTACAAAAAGGTTATGGTTATGCATGTCTAAGGGTTAAATATGTGATGAGTTCCGAGTTGGAGTAATCAGGATCAGATGTAATAGAAGACCTAACATCATAGAATTTAATGTCTACTCATATGCACACTGGAGAATTAATTACTATTGCTATTCTGGGGCTGGTGTTTTAAAATAGCAAAAAGGCACTTCCTTTGTCTAAGATAATAGCTGAGCCCTCTAGCCACTCCCACTTCAGTTGGCTGCTGTTGTATAAATGGATCCAAAGCTTTTCGAGATGCTCAGAACTTAGCATCTCTGACAGTGTTTTTACACAATCCTGGGTAGAATGAAAACAGAAAAAAATCTGATCCTTTTGGTTAGTTGTCTGTGTACATAGAAGTTAAAACTTCTATGTACCTGTTAAACATTTACTTACCTGTTAAACATTGTATCTCTATTTGGAGTTACAGCACTATAATAAAAATGCTCTTGTTATTTTGACAACTCATTAGTAATCAATAATTTCCTTATTTACCAAACAACCAGTGTGGAGTCCTTAAAATACTCTGAACATTGTACTGCATATTGAGTTTTGAAAGGCAGTAGATAGACTTATTACCTAAGAATTTAAGAAAGATGCAAATCAATTTAGTAAGCAATTGCTGCAGAAAGGGGAGGAGTACAATGTAAAGTGACAATATTTGTCAGGAACTCCTATAGGACCAGGTGATCAAGATAAACTTTTTCATATTACTATGGTTTTAGGATAAACCAGCAAAGTCAATATGCACTTATTAGGGTAAGGATACAAAATGTTAGGAAGAAGGCAGTAAAGTTGTGAGGGGAAGACTAAATTATGCTGTAAGAAGTACATAAGGAGAGTATGTTACAGTTAGTGGGGGAGGAAGTGTGAGTGATAAAACGTGAATGGTAACTGAGGAGGCTGCAGAGATAGACAAGAGGTCAGACACGAATAAAACTTGCATGAGTTATGGCCCGGGGAGGCTCTGTACTAGGTCCTGAGGGGGAGTTTCAAGGAAGGAAATAGCAAAACATAATTTGTATTATATAAATTTCCCTGTGCTGAAACAGTCATCTCAGAAGAGAGAAAGCCTGGAGCCCAAGAATTAACTCCCAGAGAAACTTACTAAAATTTAAAAATACTTGTTTTTACCATCTCCGTGTCAGTATTTAATTTAAGAAAATTTGAACCCCAACTAGAACAATGAGGTTTACAGTCTATCCAACGACTCTTCTGTGTAGAAACAAAAGAGCGAGTTTCCCCATGGTGCTTCCAGTTGTCTTCACAAGGCTGACATTTCCAACCTACATGAAAAATTAGAGTGAGTCTAAATATCTCCTACTAATGTAATTATATACAGAAATAAGTTTTCAAGTTGTGAAAAAGAACTGAAAAGCCATACAGAAATTATATGATAAGTAGGTTCACCCTTTTAAATTGCCGCCCTGTAACTGGTATCAGCAGGGCTAAGGTGTAACTTATGACACTGTAACTCTAATAGACAATCTTAATATAGCAGCATTATCAACCACTTTCGAATATAAAAGGATAGTTAGTAAAAATGTTTCTGCATGTCTAACACTGCATATGGGTGTAATATAATTAATTCATTATTGTATATGCATACAAATAAACAGACACAGCTTTTTTCTAACTCTTAGAAAGTGGAACTTTGTTCCTAAATTACCTGGAATGTTTAAAATCAACCCCTTCAGGTCTGGTTCCTGACTGGAAGTGAGATTTCCTGAATGTTGCCCCGTTACTTACTGAAGACCAAATCACAAATATCAGTTTGGTTTGTCACCTTTTCACTAAGACAAATTTGCTATTGCAGAGAACACTTCACTTGTCACGTGATACAGATAAGAAAATTACATTATTGATGACATCTGATTGGCACAGTATAGTTGGAGAGAGACATACATGGACAAAACTAATAATAATACAAGTCTGACAAAAAAACTAACAAAATATACATCAGAGCCCAGATTAAGGGAAATTGGTTCTGATTACAAAAAACCTGAGGGAGATTTCTCTTAAGGAATCCTAGTGTAAATCTAAGTAACAGATTAAGGTTAACAGGCAACAAAAGAAAGACCTATTATTTCAGGTGCATGAGTCAGTAGGAAAGAGCCTCAGGGTAAAGCCAGAAAAGTTCGATAAGCATGTGGTTAGTTACTTGATGTGTCTGTTAAAACGTCCTCCAGTACAGAGACAATACCAACTGCACAACTGAATGATGCTGAGGAAATGACATTAGCAAATACAAATGAAAGATCTTGAAGATTCCTTTCTTTCTACCAGCAACTCACAAGGTGACTTCTTTTCCTTACATAAAGACTCACATTTTTTGGCTAAGGTTCCAACAGGCATGAGGAGCACCAAGCAGGTGATCCACAAAACCACCGAAATTAACTTCCATGAGGGTGGCGGTGCACAGCAGCCTGTTAGACAGAGGTCAGTAGCAAATTGGTTCAACATTAGCTTCTGTGTGCTTATTTGCCATTTTTAAATTTTTCCAACCACAGCTCACATCTAATATTATTTTGTATTAGCTTCAGGTGTACAGCAGAGTGGTTAGACTGTGCAAATTATAGGCTTTACAAAATGTCCTGTTTTTCATAATCAAACTCCAGCAAGTACCTATAAGCCTTACCTGGCTGAGTTATTTTGCACATCTGCCAATTAATTATATAAAGCTGTTTTGGAGGTAATGGTCTTGATATTAATTTTAATATAAAATGCAAGATTGAAATATACTCATTTTAATTAAAATATTTAAAAGTTACATATAATACTATTATAAAATTTGAAAATTTAAGAAATTATTTACTATAAATTAAAAGCCAATCAGTCATGGTTTCACTCAGAAGCACATCCTCATCATTTTGCTTTATTA